TTGTACTTTTGGTTCAGGTGAACAAAGGCACGGCTGGATTCTCATTCTTGCCTGCACTAACAGCACTGCAGGGCTGTCTTCTCTGCCCTCTATCAAAAGCCTCTTTTAGAAACCTTCCTGAGAGTAAATGACGAATACTTCATTTCAGTGTAAAAAATAACAACTAAATCATAAAACTGCCAACCTTTATGAGGGTTACACTGACCAGCAATCTTTTAAATAGTCAATAAACTACTCTGCAGTGTGGAGCTTACTTTCATTTCCCTTTTCTTTGCTCCTTCCTCTGACATCTGATGCACACACCGAGCTCTGCCAATACAGGATGTGGATTCTGCACCAAAAAAACAGATTTTAAGCCTGTTCCCCCACAGGGCCATGGATACCCCTCACCTTAGGAACAGCTATATCCATGTTTCATGCACGTGGATACAGGTGGATCTGATCATCCAAACGTAGGATTTCCAGCACCAAGTGCAACACCCATGTCAAAGAGTGGACCTACAACATCCAAAAGGGTTTTAACCATTCTGACATGCAGATTTACTGTTATTGCTGGTGGTAGTAGTGTTACCTTATTTTAAATGCTGTGCATGACATAATTCACTATTTGTTTCTATATATTTAGATGTATTTATAGTTCTGTATCTCCAGGGACACATTTGTTACTATTTGTTAGTAATCCATTGGCCATCCTTAATTCTGAAAGTGACATTAGCCTTTATAACAAATTCATTCAAGGACCCATGGAAATAAACCCTGAGACTCTACATTCACTGTCAGGTGCTCTAAGGTCTTTGAAAGGTCAACACAAAATAAATGGCATAATTAGATATAAATTTAATTAAGGAGTCAGAGAATGAGAGGGAAATGAAGACTGAGATGAAATTTTCCATTCTACATCCTTAAAAATTGGCATCAGGAAGATTGAATGCATTTAGAGGAAATACTGGATTTTCAATAACAATCTCGGACCAAATTTATTTCTTACCATATATACAGATGTTTTTAAAAAAATATACAGCAGGCACTGACAGAACAACTCACCATCTTCCTCAAAGATCTGCAAGCAGGTGAATAAATAAGAAACTAAACCTGGCCCCAGAGCCCAAGAGCACCTTTTGTTCCAGAGAATAGGAAGTTGGCAAGCTAAAAATCAGAAAAACAGCCTCTGAGAATTTGGGCATGACATAAAATTCCTACAGAATCCTTTCCTGCCATGGCAGTTATAGAAAGAGAGCCTCTTCATTCCAGGTTTCATTCCTTTACATGACAGGTAAAAGAACAGGACTTCTGCCTTTGGGTCTTCAGGCTGCTGTGAAATATTTGTTACTGATGTGCTTCATCTGTATTAATAATTTAAAATTATTTTTCCTCTTGACAGATTTTATGCCTAAAGAACAAAAACATTTGATTTAAAAGTCTAGAAAATATTATTCAAAAAAAATTTACATGTCCCATAAATGCCAGCTGAAAAGTTCTACAGTAAATATATATTTTTTAAATTTCCCCCTTTCATTGAAATAGCTTTCAGCAAGGAGGAAATTCTTTTGTTAGTAATTCTACAATAAATCCAAACTCAGAAAATATTTAAAACCTGACAAAGATCTGTTTGCTTGAGGTTTTTTTCAGAAAATTTGAAAACTTTTTCTTCAGAGGACTCTTCCTATCACATTTCAGAACCCAGGGAGCTGTGAAAGCACGAGATGCTTCCCACCAACCTCCAGAGCCTCTTTCCCTGACCTCTTTTGCTCTCAGCAGCAGGCACAGTTTTACTCAGCCGGTTCCACCACACCATGGAGACTCCAACAAGGAATTCCCTGGGCCTGGTGTAATCACTTTTCCAGCAGTGCCAGGGCACTGGCAATGCCCAGCACGGGGCAGGAACAGCTGGCCCGAGGTGACGCGAGGGCAGAAAGCTCTGCAGACTCCACAGCGGTGAAGAAATCTCACTGCTTCCAGATTTTCAATGCAAAAAAAAAGACTTTCCTGTTCCCATAATCAATTTTGCTCATTCTGAGGTGTATCATGTACAACTAATTGTATAATCCAGTGGACATTTATTTCATTACCACCTTTTCCACAAAACAGAAAATTGACATAGTGAACAGTATCCCCCAAACATGTCGCTATGAACACATAAAAATTCTCAGTCAAAAGTGATCTCATTATAGCAAGAAAATTTATTTTGCCTTACAAAAATTGGCTACCAGACCGCAGCTTCCACTCAGCCCCAAGGATCCCAAAGCAAACCCCAGGAGATGGGAAGCTGAGCAGAGGTCTGTCACTGCGCTGACGGCAGCTTTATAATGAAGTCCCTCGACTGGAGAAAATGTAAAATAATCCAAGAATAGAATTATCTGTGGTTTTTTTCCTTATCTGTAAATTGGGCAACAGCCACTGTGGACAGCAACTCTGTGCAACTCCATCCATAAGGAACACCATTCCAAACTTTACCTAAATGTGCTTGAGCTCCCCATCAGTCACACTCCCCATTTCTGTAGACTGGGAAAAATAGAGAAGATAGCAGAATTCAGACTGGAACCACTCAGGTTCACACAGGCTCTGTCTTGGTCTCTCCTGTTCTGTGATGTCCCAAGAAGGACAAACTAACCCAAAGTCAATAGATAAGAGCAGCAGGAATACTGAATAGTTTTTATTTTAGTTCCAGCTCTCCCAAATGGCATCCATAAGCAAACTCCTATGTGTTAAATAATTTATTTGTGGCAAGTTTTCTTTAATACAAATCTGTTTTACCAAAACAGAAAAGCAGATGTTACCAGAAGAAACAACTAATAATGTAAACTACCCACAGTATCCCCATGACACAACTCAGCACTGCTGCACTGGCTGTGCAAATATGAGTCTGGCCCGAGTCCCACTGCACAGCCAGGTTCCACTCAGCTGCACAGCTGAAAGAGCAAAACAGGAAAGTCTAAAAGCTGAAAAACACATAGGAAAAAAGGTAAAAAATGACCCTCATCTCCCCATGCATGTGATGCAGATTTGGAAATCAGTGGGGTGAGCAAAGCCCACACCATTCCAGTCCACTGCAGCTGGGCACAGCGAGTACTGCTGGTTCCAGAGGTTCCTGTTAGCTCTGGGGATGTTCCTGCAGGCTCTGATGCATCCTGTTGGCACCGTGTTGTCTGACCCAGAAAAAATGTTCTCTGTCTCAGAAGCAGTTGCAATTCCTACAGCAGCAAAAGGACAACACTCTCACAGAAAGGGCTCTAAATCCAAGCTGAGAGATTTCTTCAGAACTGCAAATACTGAGCAATTCCCCTGCATTCAAAGTCAGTTACTAAGGCACTTTCCAGGATTTGTGAGCTTATTTAATTGTCTGAGCATGGATAACTCAGTCAAACTTAACACCCCAAGTCTGTCAGGACGAAACTTAATAGTGATACTGTGAGTAAATGTGAGATGCCATTGAACAAATATGTCATCACCAAAATTTGCAGAATTGCTAAACATTAGGAATTCCTGAACTTTAAAGTGGAGAAAATATTTTGATATCCTAAAGTGCAGCATTACACACATACATGATTCTGGACAGGCAGAACGAGGCCATGAGGCATATAACCAAAACCCAACACACAGAAAATCAGATTTTCTGATGTGTGTACAGATTCACACCTTCATGCCATAACCAAACAACAAAGACCCCTAAAAGGAAGCCATGCAGTTTCCATTTATTGAAATTATAAACAAGGAGTGTTTCAAGGAGTCAGACATTCTGAGGGGTTGAAGAAATTTATTACAAGACAACTTCTGCAGCAGCATTCTAAGGGGTTTTAGGGTAGCAAGATACTATAGTTTTGGCAACAGGTACAGGTTTCTGTGATCCATAAGAAAACACGCCTGTAAATTCCCATAAACCCTCATTTCAATTGCCTTAGACTCCCTTAATGGTCACCCGGATTTAAGAAGAAAAGAAAATTTAAAAAGGTGATCAGTAACAGCAGGACACTTTTTGCCAGGGAGTCCACATGTTTTACATCTACCCCAAACCTCATTACAGCCCTGCATCTATCACTGCTAAACCACGGGGAAGCTGAACAGCCTAAATACTGACAGCAAAGCCGTTCTGATTGCGAGAACTTACTCTCCAGGCTACAAAACCACCCAGGGACAGGGAAGTAAAGAAGGCTCTTCAGCTCCAGCTCCATGTCCCTACAAACAGGGTCAGTGGGACCACTCCACAGCATCCTGCAGAACAAATGAGCGCGTGTGTGACAGATACTGCCAATGGAACTTGGATCATGAAAAACCAAAAACTGCTGACAGGACATTCAGAAAACAACATTCTTTACCTAAAAAGCTAATGATGCTTTTCATAGAGGTAAACGACTAGTTATGAAAGCTCATAGTCATCAGTACCTGCTGCAGTCCCGTTCCCCCTATATCCAGCACTAGGGCACTTATCACGCACAGTGAAAAACGTCCCCAAGACCACTGGTAACAAGTAGATGTTACTACTGTAAAGTGGGTTTAGCTCTCGCTTGGACTACATGACTACATCCTCCTCCTAGCCCCATCCAGCCCCATGGAATTATACCCTCCGCAATGCCCCGTCCATCCCCGTGAGTTTACTCCAGGCAGTCCCTCCCTTCCAGCCCCAGTGCTGGGCTGGACTCGGCTTTCCGGAGCCGCTATCCGCCTCCAGCTCCGCATGCAGGCAGCGAATCCCCGCAGCAGCCCCGCTACCGCCGCTCGCCGCTGCCGGGCGCTGCCGCAGGAGGGATGAGCGGCGGGGTCAGCCCCGGCATGTGCGGCCCCGGGCCCCCCCGCGCTGCCCCCGGCATGTGCGGCCCTGCCCGCGGGGCGGGGGTCACCCGCCCCCCGGCCCCCAGCCCGGGGCCGCCGGCT